GGTGGGACAGAGAGGGAAGGGCAGGATTGTGAGAAAGGGGAGTCTGTGAGCTGTGTCAGGGGCTCTATGATGCAGCCGACCTCAGGACACCCCCTCCCTTGGGCTCCCAGAGAGATGCAAAGCCCTGAAGGGTCATGGGATATTGTGTGTTCTATACACTGCAGGGGGCGCTGTTCACCTTGGGTTTCTGTGACAGGCCCAGCAGGGCCAAGTGCAGCAGCCCTGGAGACTCACCCAGAAGTCTACCAGCTGCCTTCCTGGCAGGAGAGCGGGGGAATGAAGGACAGCTCATCAGGACAATTTAACTGCAAGTCAGTTTCCATTTCCCTTCTCCAGATCTTGGCTGGAGGACCAGCTGCTCTTGTGAGAAAGGGATCTACAATTAAACCAAAGAATGAGGAAAGACAGCCTGAAGCCTCTGCATTGATCGAGGGCTTTATAAAGCCACTCATAGAGGAGACACTGGCCTAAAGCTTTTGCACTGACCTCTTTCTTTGATCTATCCAGGCTCACTGACCTACCACCAAGATGTCCTGCCAGCAGAACCAGCAGCCGTGCCAGCCCCTGCCTAAGTACTCCTCACCCAAGTGCCCCTCAAAGAACCCAGCACAGTGTCTGCCTCCAGCCTCCCCCAGCTGTGCTCCAAGCCCGGGGGCTGCAGTGGCCCCAACCCCAAGGGCTACAGGCACCACAGGTTGCACCGCTGCCGGCACCAGATCTCCGACTGCTGCAACAGTGGCGGAGATCAGCAGTCTGGCCACAGCTCTGGAGGCTGCTGCTGACCTGAGCCATAACATCAAATAAAAACATTTGAAAAAAGAAAGCTCTAGAATGACTGGAACCAGTTCTGGTCTGGTGCATCTTGTTGCTGCCCCTCTCTTTTGTCTGAGATGTCCTTAAAGAGTTCTGAGTACTCCCCCAGGGGTTTAGCTTGCTGGTCTCCAGGAGCTCAGTGCTTACCCCTCCTTCTTTAAGTCTCTGTGAAAAATAGAACTGTTCTTTCTCACTGCAACCTTTGTCTAACATGTCCGTGTCTTTGCCCCACCCCAGGCTGCCCAACATCAGGTGCAGAATCCTGTCTCAAGAACACATAGCAGGTCATGCTACCCTCAACTCACAACACCTTTTTGGGGGGTTGTGTATTAGGATAGGAGTGGGGTGGGGTCTTTCACAGAGTCAAAGACAGGGCACTGTTTGGGAATAAACATGGAGCTCTGGAAAACAAAGGCAATGAGTCTCATGGGCCAGTTCAGATCCTTCAGAGAAGACATTGGAGGCTCAGCCCTGCGGGTGGCAGAGAGAAAAGAGGAGAAGCTCCAGACCGGGGCAGGTCCCTGGCTCTCTGGTCCCTCCAACCCTAATGTTCTGTGGTCCTCATGACCTAGGATGGCAGCAGCCCCCAGGACAGTGGCAGTAACTGAAGCCTCCAGAATACTCTGGCAGTAGTGTTAGCAGGATCTGTGGGCCTCTGGAGGCTAGGGAGCTGCTTCCTCTTGAGCTGGAACCACAACAGAGAGACTGAAGGTGAACAACCTACAGGATTCTTGAAGGTTGGGCAGTTGGGAGGGGGCTGACAGGGCTGTTGGTTTTTCCTGTTTTTCCTGGCCAGACATTTCAGCTCAGTGATCCCTGGAAGAAATATATATGCAAGGATACTGCAAAAAGTTCATGAGGAAATGGAATTAAAAGATAATATGGGGCCGGCCCCATGGCTCACTTGAGAGAGTGCGGCACTAGTAGCACCGAGGCCGTGGGTTTGGATCCTATATAGGGATGGCTGGTGTGCTCACTGGCTGAGCATGGTGCAGACCACACCGTGCCAAGGGTTGCGATCTCCTTACAGGCCAGAAAAAAAAAAAAGATAATATGAATCTTTCCATGAACTTTTTCAAGACCCCTCTATGTGTGCATGTGCATGTGTGTGCATGTGTGTGTACATACATATTCCCTTGTCCCTCACCATCTTTTCACAGAACCTACCCCTATGACCCTAAGCCCATAGTTTAGGTAAGCTAAGGGCATCAGGGAAACAGAAAGGGCCTTGGGCAGAAATGAACCGACTCAAGGTGATTGCTGATTAAGCCCAGAATTTTCTCTCCTCTAACTTTGATTTATAGTCAGGACAAAAGATATGAGACATGGGGCGTGGTGATGAAGATGGGTTATAATCTAGGTAACGCTCTTCAAACTCTCCAGCCCCTCAGCATGGAATTCAGTGTTCCCACAGTGGATGCCCAGATATTTTTCTGATAGAAGAGAACAAAGAATCTCCCATATTGCCCATATATCTGGCTCTGACACTCAGGGCTTTTGAAGGATAGTTGTCTACAATTTTTCATTCATTCAAACAAATGAATTGAGCTCACATTGCAGAGATGTGTTGACACAGAGGACTCAGAAATGTTTAAGATGTGGTTTTCATCCTTAAGACACTAATAGTGTTGCAAGCAGACTGACAAGTGAGTGATGCAATTATTGTGAGCTGGAATGATACCTGCTATTGCATAAGTGTGGGGAAGTCCATGGGACTTAGCCTTTGGGTATCAACTCCCTGCTGCCCTGACAGGAGTGAGGTGTCCAGACATTGTCACTGGTATCACTTGTGGTGGTGGGTGAAGTCTTGGCCAGCAAAATGGCTTTTGAGTGCAGGGAAATAGCCAAAATGTTGTCCCGTGGTGGCCCAGTTAAGTGATTAAGAGGAACTCATGGGACCCAAGAGCCAAGAGTCCCTGGGCAGGAGGTTTCCTGGCAAAGGGAAGAAATAAAGCTGCCATCTGAGGGGGGTTGGATACGATAGGGAAGCAAGCTAAGATAACGGGAGGCAGAATAGTGTGCTGGCTAAGAACATGGGCATTGGAGTCAGACATTCTCACCTCCCCACTCTTTTAAGTACGAAGGTAAAGCTAGAGGTGCCTAATGAAAAACAAAGCTAAAAAATAAAGGTAAAATGAACGATAGACGTTACAACTGGAAGCAGAGCCAGTGATTAGTAGTCTACACCTGTGACACAGACTCGTGCAGCTAAGAACACTGCTTCAGTAGTTCCTAGACCGTGGGAATGGTTCAGAGATGAGGATACTCAGGCCAAGTTGACCAGAGCACTTTAGGATAAAGGGAACATCACATTTGAATGATAATTGATGGAGGGAATTATAACGTGATTGATAATAGTGATGACTGATTTTATTTCGCCAGTGTTTCTATAGATATAAATTAGCTATATCATATTTTCCTTCTGTATTTTATTTTAATTTTATAGAATGAGATAATTATTTGACACATGTAGGTAAGTTTGATTTCTTTTGACAAGACATTATTATTGCAGTAATGATTCTGGACATTTTAGTTACATGAAGGCTATAGGAGCAGCTGTCTCAGTCCTATATCTTGGCCACTTTCTCAGGGAACCCTGTCTCAGCTGGTTAAAGGATTTGACTAGCAGAGCAGATTTGGCTTCAACCTCCAATCAAGGTTCCTTTTGACACTTTTTATTCCAGTTTCTTAAGAAATTATTTGTCCAAAATATTAGAGCAAAACTGATTTCCAGCTTGTCACTTTTTAAAAAATGAAATTTAAAAAAAAAACGTATTTCATTCAGTTGAATTCCCAAAGCATCACACAGGTTTTGTTCTCCATTTAGAATTTCCATGCTCAAACTCTGATTTTTCTCAAAAATTTCAACTTTGACTGTAGCCACAGTTATATGGTGTCTTTCCATCATTCTGAAGTTATTTCAAGAGTCATCATGGCTAGGGTTTAATAGACCCCTGTTCTTCTGCAGCTTGATTTCAAAAATCTATCTATCAAAGTGGAACAGCTCTCCTGGTTCACATCGAGCATAATCATTTTGGATTGGAGCAGAGACAAACACTGCCCTATTCCAAAGTTTGGGCAGGAGCCCTCCAGTTAGGACCCTATGGTAACTGTAACATGGCTATGTCTCTTTATTGTTGATGGGTTTGAAAAGTAACATTCCACAGTGAGAAAAAAAAAAGAAAGAAAGAAAGAAGAAAATGAAAATGAGTTCAATTCTATCTCAAATCTCTTGAAAGAAATTTACAGGTATGCAATCTGCAATCCCCTGAGACGTTTCACACGTCCTCCCCTCAGTTTTCTAAGAGCGCTAATCCTCTTATTTGCATTTTCTTAAGAAAAACCTTCAATTCCAGCTTCTTCAGAATGTACTGACTTTCCAGCTCACCTCCCTCTCTGAAGTCCATTATTTGCAGTTTTGTTTGACCTCCCCCCAGACCTTTCTTTCTACCTCCATACCCTCCTTCCTCTTTGGTGTCATTCTTCTCAATGTCCTCATCCTCTATGCCACCCTCAGCAGAGACGGGGACTCCATCATCACATCATCCCTCCTTCCCACCATATTACTCAAGAAAAGTCAGGCCTTTTCCCAGGGGTATGTTCAGCAACCTTTCTCAGCCCCTCGCTTCCTTCCACCCTTCCACCCTCAAAGCTCCCACAGGGCTCCTCTGCATAAAGAATAATCTAACCCATTAATTTTCCAGCCCCAAGCCTGGATTATTCCTGGTTCTAGGCATGCTGGACCTTCAGAAATGAGGGCGGCGTGACCCACAAGGCAGCCTTAGGTGGGGCAGAGTTAAAGGACAAGTGAGATATAGGTGGAGTTGAGAAGAAGCTTTAATTTTCTATACACTCAGACACAGGTGATAACATTATAAGGAAAAGGGAAAGGCTTCAGGCTCTTGAAAACTATGTGGGCACAGCCTTCTGGGAGAGGACTACCCTCCCCCATGAACATTTCAGCTGCTCAGTCCAAGAAAGAGAGATGCAGATGCCTAAGAAAAGATGCATCACGTTGGGGTTTTTCCTTGGCCCTTTAGATTCTTCTCTCCTCTAAAATCGTTTATCTCAGCATCAGGATCCAGGTCAGCAGCAGCCCCCAGAGCTGTGGCCGTAGCCGGAGCCCCCGGACTGCTGACCGCTGCCGCTGCCGCAGGAGTCAGAGCTCTGTCGCCGGCAGCGGTGGGACCTGAGGCGCCTGTGGTGGCTCAGTAAGCAGCCACCCTCAGAGCTGGGGCCACTGCAGCCCCCTGAGCTTGGAGCACAGCTGGAGGAGGCTGGAGGCAGGCACTGTGCTGGGCTCTTTGGGGGGAACTTGGTTGAGGAACACTTGGGCCGGGGCTGGCACTGCTGCTGGTTCTGCTGGCAGGACATCTTGGCAGGAATTTGACCTTGAACAAAACAATAGAAATATTTGAGCACAGAAGCTTCAGGCCAATGTTTCCTCACTTGTGAATTTGTCACACACTTGCACCTCCCGCTCCCCATGACCAAGCTGCTTTCTAAGCCAAGATCTGTGGGAAAGAAATGAAAAAGGCTTCAGGCTCTTGAAAACTATGTGGGCACAGCCTTCTGGGAGAGGACTACCCTCCCCTATGAACATTTCAGCTGCTCAGTCCAAGAAAGAGAGATGCAGATGCCTAAGAAAAGATGCATCACGTTGAGGTTTTTCCTTGGCCCTTTAGATTCTTCTCTCCTCTAAAATCGTTTATCTCAGCATCAGGATCCAGGTCAGCAGCAGCCCCCAGAGCTGTGGCCGTAGCCGGAGCCCCCGGACTGCTGACCGCTGCCGCTGCCGCAGGAGTCAGAGCTCTGTCGCCGGCAGCGGTGGGACCTGAGGCGCCTGTGGTGGCTCAGTAAGCAGCCACCCTCAGAGCTGGGGCCACTGCAGACCCCTGAGCTTGGAGCACAGTTGGAGGAGTCTGGAGGCAGGCACTGTGCTGGGCTCTTTGGGGGGAACTTGGTTGAGGAACACTTGGGCGGGGGCTGACACTGCTGCTGGTTCTGCTGGCAGGACATCTTGGCAGGAATTTGACCTTGAACAAAACAATAGAAATATTTGAGCACAGAAGCTTCAGGCCAATGTTTCCTCACTTGTGAATTTGTCACACAATTGCACCTCCTGCTCCCCATGACCAAGCTGCTTTCTAAGCCAAGATCTGTGGGAAAGAAATGAGAACATAGAGAGGATATATGTATTTGGATAAAGCACCCCTAAGGATGTCAGATGGATCCATGNAACATAGAGAGGATATATGTATTTGGATAAAGCACCCCTAAGGATGTCAGATGGATCCATGTGCATCCCTGACAACATGCTCTAATCAAGAATGGGCAGGAATCCTGAGGTTCTCTGGCTTTGCGGTTTCACAGCTCCCTGACACGTGCCACAGAGGAGTCTTCTGCACCCTCATCTCCCCGACTGCTGCCCACTGTGGACCTCTTCCTGATGGATCCATTTCAGTTTGGGTCTGTCTTCTTCAAACACTCCCAGATAAGGATCTTTCCCCTGCTGGACACTCACCAGATGCAGAGGAAGCAGGAGAAGAAGAGAAGGCTGTGCCTGATGGGCTGTGGATGAGGCTTTTATCCTGTGCAGGGTTAGTGATGCACAGCCTGAGCATGCTGCTGCGTTCACAACCGGGGAGGTGACAGCAGCAGACATTTGCCAGTTACCTGCCTCTAGTGTCTTCCTGGGCACATACCTAAAGGTCTAACGAGGTGGAACCAGGATGTCCTTGTGACTACCATATCACTTCCCACTCTGGCCTGCCCTCGGGACCTGCTTCCTGCCTCTGCTCATTTGTTCTCTTCCATGCCTTGACACAGGCTTTGTCCCTTTTACTTCATACAACGGTAGTGATATGGAGATGTATATGACACATTTATTCCCTTGAGTACCTTGCAGGCTAAATGGACCACTGCTCATAAAAGGAAATATATTTTATCTGATGAGATGAGCGCTATCACGGAAGTGTTTGCAAACACCTCAAACCTAACATCCCAGACTTTGTAAGTCAGTCCTCCATTGCACTGCAGGTCCCAAAGGAAACTTCAGGTGTCCTCTGGGAGTAACA